CATCAAGATTTTTAAAATAAACAACATATTTATGTACATTGTCCAATGGTGAGTAGTTCAAGATGGTTTTTTCGATTTCCAAAAAAGTTTTACTAGAGAAAACCAATAAATAAGAAATAGATAGCAATAAAAACAAAAAAAAACGTTTTGCTAAAGGTAATTCAACATCAAAATAAACTCGTCTTTGGATTATTAATAATATGCGTTACGCATATTTTGAAATTCTTTAAATATTACTGCATGAGGTTCAGTGCATTTATATGAACGAATAATGATGTGATACTGAATAAAGTATTTATAAGAATTAAATTATTTTTATTCATCATTTATCTTTCGTTATTAACTTTCTCCATTGATCTAACATTTCCAAATATGAAATTTTTATTTTTACAAATAGAAATCTTGTATTTACGGTAATACATTTTTTCAATGAAGAAAGAAAAAAGAATAATAGTTGATATTGATATTATGATAAGAGTAAATGATGATAAGCAAACAACTTGTTCCTCGAATAAATTTTCGTCAATTACATTGTTAACAATCAATGAGATAGAACTTAATCGAGTTCAATGATTTACTAGTTTCATAAATCAGAATAATTTTTCTTGCGCCAACTTTATTTTACTAATCAATTAGAAAGAGAAGAAAATATCGATAATTTCAACATAAACAGATCTCATTTCTATTTTGTTTGTTAACTATGAACACGCATAAAAATTGGCTTTTATCATCTGAACTTTGTTTTTTTTTCTAATAAGATTATTTTATCGATTCTGCTCCTACATTCTGTATCTGAAAACATGAAATCCTTTAGAAATGAGGATTGCATAAAAGTACATTCTATTTCTCTCAACAAAATACATAACAATCCACAAAACCACTTCTTATTTCTTTCACTCTCTTTTTATTGATAATAATATATTATCTTTAAATGTGTTGATTTTCTTTTTATTCTCATTTTAGTTAAATAATAATTAAACAAAAACTACTAGATTTCGGCGCGAGAAGAATAGTCCGTTAAACATTTACAAATTTTATACTTTCTATAAATACACGATTGTATCCATAGGCACAATTAATTCATGTTTCATCTCTTACAATTGTGTGTCTCACGCTTTTTACAAGACAATAATCTCTATATATAATGAAAAATTACAATATCATTAGCAATTATTTTCTATGATATGCTAGTCTTAAACAAATTTATGTTGAATATTCATTTAATTATATCTCTTTGGAAACAAATTCATATACTGTTAAATGAAATTACAAGTACAATATTGTTCACGAAATAGTTTATTGGATCGAACAGAAAATGCTCAACATAATCATCATGAACGCTATTATGACGCATCCGTCAAATAGTGACACTTCTCTAATACTTTTGGATGATCGCTCTAGTGTTAGATAATCATTTGAAATTATTTGAAAATGAATAGGAATTGAACTAGTATATACCGATGAACAGAATAAAGATATGTCTAAATATTGTTGTAATCATATTTTTAATTCCTGTTTCTTCCGTTTTATTAGCGATTGTGATAATAAAATGGAAGAATTTATTTTTTAAGATATAAGATAAAGAATTTCTATTAGAAACAAATATAATCAATCATTTCGAGCTCATTTTTTTCTTGTATGAAACTTGGTGTTTAATGCTGGTTCTTTATTTCATTATAGTTGTTCCTCTGGAAATCTCTTTTTAAAAATAAAACAGATTAAATATGATAAAAATTATTATTTTTCAATAGTATTTACCCATGTCGGCACTTTTTTGACAACTGCGTCGCAGTTGCGCGCAGCTGCGGTAAAAAATTCGCAGTTACGCGTAGCTGCGCCGCAATTTTCCACAATTACGGGTCACAGTGCGATCGCAGTTACGCGTAACTGCGTCGCAATTCGATCGCATTCGAACACATGGGTATTGTATGCGAAAGTTAATTGTATCCTTTGTTATTGTTCAAACATGAGTAAAATGTGTAATGATCTAAATAATTATATTGAGACGTGAATGAAAGGAATCACCTTCAGTTCCAAATACTTCTCATGTTTCAATGAGGAAAAATATTTAACTACAAAGAAAAATACCCAAAAAGAACATGAATGTTTCTCATAAACAAAAAAATTTCGACAGTGGACTAACGCTAATCATTAAAGTCACAAGAAACACAAACAATGATCATCCAAAAAACCTCCAAAAGATGATTAATGTTGATTATCAAACAAAAAAAGAGATAAGTTATAGTTGAGCAAAAAAAAAATAACAAGAATCATTAATGTTGATCATGAGGGTTAATATAAATCATTTATGGCCTTAGTTATACTTTTCCACGATTTTTATTCCCGATTGGTATGACCTTGATATTTAATAATTAGTTTTCGAGTTTTAAGAGTCTATTCCAACATTTTAGAAGCATTAAAAGATAAATAAGATATGAAAAATAATTTTTATCATATCACAGGACTTTGAAATGAACCATGAATTTTTTGTCACTTAAAGTCGTCATTACTTGTAATTGTTCATTTATTGTTGTTGTTTGCTCTACAGTAGCAGGGTGTAAGCGTGAGTGTGGGTCTAGTTTTCTCTTCACCACATCCACCCCCACCCGCACCATCACCACACCCATACCCTCGTACCGTTCCTTCATTTGATTTTTCTTTGCTTGTAAAACTTCAGTACATAATTTTAAATAATGTTCAGCTGACAAATAATATGGTGGATTGAAGTATTTAAATATGTGAACTAAATGTAAAGTGATAGAAATTCCAAAGATGAGCATAATTTTATTTTCTAGTTGAATTATATACCATTCGAAAAAATATGAGAAACTGAGTAAGAAAATAGCCATTTACAATTTTTAAAACACTTTTTTCAAGACAGAAAAGTATTTAAATTATGGATGGCGTTTTGTTTTCGACAAACATCTAGTTTCTTAAGAAACCACACAAATTTTCTTCTTGTCCTTTTTCTTGATCTATTTAAATTAATTGTTTTTAAATCTGCATCGAAAATTGATTCTGAAAATAATTTTTGATTGTCTACTAGACAATTAGTCTTTGGATATTTTGTGTTTAGAAGTTGTCAACTTAATGCATTCGTAGGTAACTTTGTATTTCCATTGTTTTTTTAACATGATCTTTCATACTTAAGAAAATTCACTTAAAAATAGTTTGTTCGACAAAATACATTACGGCTGTGTAATTCAATATTGAAGGTGATGAGTTCATTGCAATTTAGTTCAGTTGATGAATTAATTGAATGAGTATGGATTGTTTCTTAGAATTAATAGATTGAGTCCATTTTAGGTCACAAAATTTTTAAAACCTATCATTAAAATTAAATTATGCTGAGGATTGTTTTGTCAGTTCTACGGATTGAACTGATTAAAATTAAAAATAATTTCTTTAACTTTTAATTAAACAATAAGCTTATGAGAATAAATCTTAAAAAATTCAGTTTTTGATATATTTTGTAATATAAAAAAGTAGAAGTGTGGGCATCGGTGTTGTCTCTACCTACTCCCATCCCCAATCTCCATTATGCCCACATTTACATATCCACCCCTTGTTTTAACGACTTATTGATAAATTTCATTTTGATCTAAACATTCGAATTATTTAATCAAAAACACTAAAATCATACTATTTAAATTTGCGGTCTACTTACTAATATATTCTATTAATATTGTGATTCACTTCATTGATAATTTTCGATTAACAATCAATTAGAAATTTCATCACTATCACGATTTCAGATGTGTTGAATTACTTTATTAGAAATTATACTATTTAATAACACAGTAATATATTTATTATATCAATGAACAATAAGTTCGATATAAAACTATTACGCTAGATGGTAGTCATTAAAGTCCATCTTGTAGCTATATTAAACAGAACACATATAAGGAGAACTAAATTTAAGTTTGACAGAAATTTTAGTACCAGTTATCTGATTCACATGAAATGCCAAATACATAATTATCTTCCTTTATATAGGTCACATATTGTCTAGATATTTACAAAAACAATTTAATGGGATAAATCTTCTATTATATAATTATAATGGTTCTTATAATCATCACTAATTGCATTGTGATTTGCGTTTTCTAATCACAAGAATATAACATGAGGATGGTATAGTGATAGTTTTTGGGATCAATTCACAGCTAATAAAACTGTATCATCTGAACATTGTTGATTTCTATGTGATGCAATGAATAAATCGCTGCAATCATTTACGGATATTCTGATCCTGTATTAAGGTTTATGAGGTTCACATTTATTATACAGTGATTTTCGTACCCAAATAATATCTGGTAAGGAACAACATAATGAATTTTTCGTTATGACGGTATTATCTGGTTGGTAAAACTAATAATTATAACAATAAGTTGTTTGTAATTATCGAAATACGTTTGTATTTTGCAGTTTCAGTTTGTAAATGAGATACGAATACATTGCATTACAGGATATTCTTGTAGTGTTCATCTATTTCGTTTTGAGAAAAATGACTGTTTAGAATGCCGTTAGAAATTATCAGAATTTGGATCGACTCAATTTGATATGCATGAGATTGCAATTGCTATTATCATACACATATAGAGAATACTATATCAAACTTCGCGATATTCACATCATATGTAAACAAAGAAAAGGATTAACATAAAATAAAATAACCTTATCGCATATTCAACTTGAATAGAAATACGCCACCGTCTCGACGTAAGTTCTGATAAATTTATTAAAAGAATCTATATGCAGTGTTTCAAATCAAACTATAGAGGTCACTGGTTGTAGCACGTTTTCTGTATGGAGGATTGCTGATGCTAGGTAACAGTTCGTTCGACATTTGTGATGGAAGCAGAATTGTACAAAAGATTTCATTTAATCCAATCTTAATCGCAGATTGAAGCAATTGTTTATTTTTCTGTTCTAGAAAACAAATCTTCTTGAATATAAAATAGCAACATATAGTAAATATTCTTAAATGTTCACAAATGTCTAGTACAGGGACTGGCAAACGTTCAACCACACCAAAAAGTATGTATCAATACAATAATCATCAAAATTTAACTTCTAGAATTTTTCAATTAAATTTCATACAATATTATCAGAGACTTTTCAGTCTTAAAAGTTGTAATAATTTGAAACTAGGTTTTTATGTTTTAGTATCATTCGATTTTCTATCTTATAGAACAAGATCAATAGTACTCCTGTAGAGTCTTTCTTTTCACGTTCTTATGTACATTTTAGAACAACGATCACGATCTCAATTACAACAAAAAGAACGTATTCAAGAAGATGTTTGTGTTCGAACAAGTTTGCCACCATGTGTCGAAGGTCCTGTTTATGCAATTCTTATTTGTCATATACCTAAGTTACGTTGGATTCCAAAGCATCAATCTGTCTGTCGATCTATTACAATTAAAGTAGCATGGTGGGGTGAAGATGATACATCGGCAATATTCAAGTAAATAAAAACCATTGAAACCACGATGAGTTCTTTACTTTTTATTTTGTTAGGCCACAAATTTCTGGTGTTTCACTTGACCATCGACAGCAACCGAGTACCACAGCAAAATATTATATTCGAAGTGAACTCATACAGTTTTCTAAATATTTAATAGGTTTGTTATAAAACAAATATTAATATCCTTTGAAATATATTATTTGTGTTGATATAGACGCTGCTGAATTAGTACTTAAGGTATATGATACTGATACAAATCGTATGATCGGTACTGTTAAAGTAAAAAATTTATCTACACTCTCAATAAACAATCCCATCAAAGGTTATCTACCTATATTTTCAAACAAAGGCGATAAATTAGGTGAATTATTTATTGCATTACGTCTTCTTCTTCTCGGAAGTAAGTTAAAAGTAATCCATTATCTGCTTTTAAAATCTTTCGTTTCTAGTGCATGATAGCAATGAAAATCTAATAGCAATGAGTTATACATCTGATGTAAGCAATCCACCTTCACGACGTAATTCAATTGGAGCTAATGATTATAATCAAGTATGTTTTATTGTAGTTAAATAAAAGATAATAATTCATTATCGGAAAAAAATTTTCTCTTTCAATAGGGTGGTCAACTTGAAAATGGTCTACGAACATATACAATCAATCGAGCTGATAATGCAGAACATCTAAATTCAGTTCATTCAAATGATACGACTGCATTACAACAATATGATTCAACTACTCCATTTCAAGCTCGTACAACTAATGTAAAAAATGTACCACCAGGTAATAGATATTTTTTGAAGTTTTAATATGAACAGCAAAACATTTAAACATGTTAAGGTATGCAAGCATATAAAGAACTTCCAACTGGTAAGGTCATCGAAGAATTAATTGAACGAGCAAATCGTCTTCGAGAAAATATGTCTAAACCATCATTACAGAAAACTACAACCATTAAGAAAAATAATCATTCTATTGAACCAACATTATTTAATAATAATAATAATAATAATGCTGAAATTCATGGTCATAAATCATTTGAAATGCTTATCGATGATATTGATCCTTCGATTATTGATGATGAAAATATTTATGATATGATCGGTATAAAATCAACTGTAAATTTAAATGATTCAAATCATTCAATTCTAACTGATCTCGATGGATTAGAAAATGAACAAAGTCTATTAGATGATCTTCTTTATGGAGGGAGTACAGAAAATAATCATAATAACAAAAATAAAACATATAATACCAATTCAACTAATTTAAATAATAAAAATCGTCCACATGGTAAACCACCAACAGGTCGTTCACGTAGTCCTAGTCTATCACGTGTTAGTGGATTGTCAAATCGATCACGTTCAACAGCAAGAAGCCGAAGTTTAACACGTAGTAATGATAGTGATATAGCATCACGTGTTTCCTTTGATATGTCTAATTCAGATGTTGATGATAGTGGAAATGGTAGGATATAATTTATACAAAGATATTCTATTAGTTAATTATCTTTAGAAAGTCATGATGATAATGAATTGAGTACTGAACGTATTCAATTATTAAATTATGTTCGTACAGCTCGTATTCGTATTGATCATCTTCGTTTAAATATTCTTAATGGCCGAGAATCACCATCACATTCATCATTTGGACGAACAAATAAAAGTAAACGAGCTATGTAAGAAACAAAAAAATTGATTTTTTTTTTCAAAAACAATTTTTTTTTATGTTTTATTTTTCTTTTATTTAATTAGGAATTATTATATTGAATATCAGTTTCCTGTTATTGCTAATAATCGTGATGGCCATGCAAATGAAGTAACAGAAGTTATAAAAATAGTTTCAAAACGTTTCGAATCAAATAATGATATAATATTTTCTCATTTATCAACATATCCATGTTTATTTAATGAAACAATATTTAAAAATTGGTGGCGTTCATTATTAATATTTAAAATTTATAGTCGTATGTCAGGTACAACAAATCCAGAACAAATTGGTTTTGCTGTTTTACCACTTCGAAATATATTCAAAGCTGATTATTTACATTTAGAACAAGATTTAAATGTTATTGATCGTACACAAATGAATTATAATCAAAAAATTCCAAATAAAGTAGCAAAAAAATTTTGTATTGGTCAATTACATTTAATGCTTGAACTCGATTCTGATAAAAAAGATTTTAAAACTGAACTTGATCGAATACAATTAATGGAACAAATGGAACCAAAAAATAAACAAATAATAAAATCTAAACGAATAAAAAAATCTAAAAAATCAATTATAAATTCAAATAATAATTTACAATTACCAAAAAGTTTTACATCAAATGAATCATCATCATCAGAATTAACCGATGGATTAGTTGTACAATTATATCTTTCAATTGTTGAAGCTCGAAATATTCCACATATATCGAATAATAGTAATGAACGAATAAAAGAAATTGTTTAGAAAAGAATTCTTGTTTTTGTTTCTCTAATGTAGATAATCTACCTCGAAATCCATATTTTATTTGTCGAGCATTTTGGAATGAAGAACCGGTCACATCAGTTGTTTGTTGGGGAAGTTCAACGCCAAGATTTAATTTTCAACAGGTTGAATTTATTATTTAATACTTTTGATGTGATTAAAACTGATGTTAGAAAGTTTGATATTAAAGAAAAATGCAACATATTACAAGTAGATATATGCGAGATTAAGTTTTTTGGTCCCAATCTAGAGCAACCTATTACAGAATTTATTCGTATCACATGTAAAAAAAATTCCTTAACATTCGTTTTTTGATTGATCCAGGCGATGACTAGCATTGATTCGTGTTATCTCTCTTAAATTATGTTCTGATTTATAAGATAATTCGCTTAAAACCATAGAATATTTAACTATAATCTTTAGTTCCGCGATTGGGATAATTCGTTTCTTATTGGCTCGGGTCCTGGATAACCTTCAAATATTTGTCGTGCAGATCTCTAATTACAAATCATGCGAAAATTGTTTGTTTTAAACTGTTCATTGATACATTGAATAATAATTTTGACTTATTTAAACAATGTCAGGAAGCTTTCAATATAGATAACTTGTAATTTTCATTATGCGAAGGATTATACGCTAGGCAGTGAATTCATACAAGAATGTTCTATTTAGATAAGAAATAAATAATATTGTGAATAAGTATGTAACAACATTTTCTTGCAATGTTGAAAGTGTGTGAATAAAAGAATATAGATTATGTTTAATATTTCAATTGAATTCCTACTGTATATGTTATGAGTTATACCTAGTATAATCGAATCGTGTATAGAAACAGTGAAACAGAAAAAAGTATTGAGCTGTTTCACTAGTAGACGTATTCAATAGAAATAGTTTTACAATACCTTTATGTTATTTCGAAGTCAACTTTGTGAAATGATAAAAATTCAATCTTAATTCTATTGAAAACTTCACAATTAAGTTTCATATTCAATTAGATACTAAAATTCTTTATATTTTCATTCTTTTTTTCTAGAAAATTCCAATATTACTCACAAAACCCACGATCGAAAAAATGCATCAAAATTTTGTTATAATTGAATTATGGGATAAAAAAATATCCGGACCATCCGATCAAATAATTGGTATTATTAAAATACCATTAGAACAATTTTATGTATCATTTAAAGATAAACAAATAAGTCGTGTTCTTTTACGTGCACAATATCCAGTTATTAGTATTGATTCTTGGTTACCTATTATCGATCCATTTATAAGTACAAATAAATCATCAGGAGAAATTCAAGTTTTATTAGCTATGGGTACATCAGATCAAATAACAGCTGTACAAGTAGCTCATGCTGGTGGAGATTTATTTCCTTCATTAACAAATAAAAAACTATCAACAATATCTAATAATAATAATAATAATAATAATAATCAATCATTATCATTAGTTGAACATCATTTTGAAATAATGATTGAAAGTATAAATGGTTTACGTGCATTTGAATCTATGGTATGGGGTGAAAGTGATTGTTTTATACAATATATATTTCCAATACAACATGAACAACAACAATTAACAAATATTAATTCAATAAAACCATTCCAACTTCGTACAATACGTACAGCTACTACACTATGTACATCAGATCCAACATTTCAGGATACAAATAAATTTCATTATATTCTATCACCTGCTGATGCTTTACATAAATATTTTTATGCTGGTAGACAAAAAAAAAAAAAAAAAAAAAAAAAAAAAATAAAACATTGAAATTTAATTTTTATTTTAATTTAGCTTGTCAATCTACAACACCTATTGAAGCTAGTATTCCATTTGAAGTTTGGTCAAGATTTTATTATCCAAATATTCGTGATCAACTTTTAGCAAAAGTAGGATTCTTTTATCTACAAAAATAAGATAATTATTTGATATATTCTCTTTCTTTTTTGATTCGTTAGGGCAAATTACCAGCTGCTAAATTATGTAGTATGACAACAATGTTAAATTCTGATGTAGAAGATAAATCAATGCAATCATTTCGTATACCATTAGAAATTGTAAGAGATGATCCTAAACATGAACAACATCATTATACACCAACACCAACCTATGGTGGAGATTTATTATTAACTGTTACTTATAAACGAAATATTATTCAGGTAATTTTCTTCATTATTATTATATAAATAAAATGAATTTATTGAATAAAACATGTTTTTTGCAATATGCTGTAAAAGAAATTAATCCTTACTGATTTATATCGAAGATATATAAGACATAGTCATTGTACAGCTTTTTTCAAGAGTAATGAAAAACAAGCTATGTTTGCCAATGAAGAGAAATTATGGTTAGGATATGATTAGTTATCCGTAAAAAGATAATGCTAGAAGATAGACTAAGAAGATTCATAACAAAGTTGTCTTTCAGAGCGGGACGCGAAATTTTTGAATTTTTATTGAGTTAAATTTTTTTATGGGCTAATATAAAACGATCGGCCAAATAAAAGTTATCTTTCGAAATTCGAGTAGTATCTTGATTAGAGATCGGTGTGACTGTGAGTCACGAAAGTACTTTCTTGTTTTTACGACTTCTTTTCATAGACTATCTATATTCTTGACACAAAAGTCAGATATATCGATTCTATTGTTAAAAGCGACGATAATATATTTCAACTAAAAGAATGTCAAGCGAAAAATAAATTACCACCTGTCTCTATAGAATAGAAGCCTATGCGGAGTTCTTTAGTTCCATAGACTATAGCGTTGAATCGAGATTAATTTTTTTCTCTGATCAAGCGAAAGATTAATTTTCTTACATTTTTAATTGGTTAGTGCTCATTTTGAACAAACTGAGCTTCTATTGTTGTTGAATTATTATAATCGTAGGTTAACCAATAAATTATCGACTTAAGCTCAAAAAAAAGAGATTGTTTGTTTTGCGGAGCGTCTAATGTAATTAAACGAAAGAAAAGATGTGCAATTATTTAGTATTCGTGACTAACTTTCAATCATGATCACGATCACTGTCGTGAATCACAGTGGTCATCTCACTCTCTAATCTCGATAGACTCAATCGAATAATTTTTCATCATCAGTATAATGAAGAAAAAAATTCGATTTAAAAAACTCCATGAGCTTTAACATTGAAATCTTTGTTTTTATTATAGCAAAATGAACCACAAGTAATTCCTGGTCATTTATCAAATGATAATTCTAACGTGTGTATGTCAGTTGGTATTATTCGTGCTTGTGGTTTAAAAGTAATTATTTCATAAGTTTATTTTCGTTACAATATTTTTTTTTCTTGTTTTATAAAATAGCAAGCAGCTATGTTTCAAGCGCGACATGATGCTCGTTTTAATTATCCATCTCAAGTGGGTCTTAATACTTATGCAAAAGTAACATTATCATTTCTTTCTGATATGGTAAAAAAAATTTTTTTTATCATTTTATAAATTTTTGTAACCTTGTATCTTTTAAAAGGAATCTCGTTCAACAAAAACAATAGCTCGTAGTTTTGTACCTGATTTTAATCAATCAATGGATTTTCCTATTCCACTAATATGGAGTGATCATCGTAATCAATCGATATCTCTTGTTGAAATACTTGAACATGGAGAATTAAAAATTGATATTTATCATCAAATGAATTCAAATTCAAATGAAAAACAATCATTAGATATTCATTTATGTTATTGTATAATTTCATTAAAAGAATTAATTATTCGACATACAGGTGATTTTCATAGGAAAAATATTCTAATGAAATTTTTTCTTTTTGTTTTTTTTTCTATAGGAATTAAAGGTTGGTATCCATTAGCTAGTGCAAATAGTGTTGTTACATCAGAAATTTCTTCGGATCCAATTGAAAATTGTGTTGGTGGTATTGAATTATTTATTCGTTTTACACAACAAGATGATCGTCGTCGAATGATGGATTCAGCAAAAAAACTTGGTTGGTTGAATGAGAATTATAGCGATGAAGAAAATTTTCTTGATGGTAACTTTTTTAAAATTTTTATAAAAAAAATTAATTTGTTTTATGTAGATCAAAAAGATCTTGGATGTATTGTAAAACTATCAATTGATCGTATTCAATTTTCTGTTCAACTTACAACACAAACAGATAAAGATAGTTTAAGTATTTTTGCACAATATCGATTTTATGATAAAAGTATTGTAGAAAAAAAAATTTTGTTTTTATTTCGATTCTATTTTCTTTGTTCTTGTTTAAGTGCCAATAATAACTAAACGAAAAAAAGCAATTATTGATAAAAATAATTTTATATGTGAACTTCAATTTAATAAAGAACATTTATTTTTATGTAGTGAACCATTTTTATGGTATTTACGTGAAGAAAAATTAGAAATACAAATTTGGACAAGTGAAAATGATACTTATGATTATTCACAATCATTAGCATCAACAACAGATAAACTTATTGGTTCAATTTATGTTGATTTAAATACATTATGTCATAGAAAAAGAAAATCTCATCGATTAAGTACTATTTTACCAATATTTAAACAAGGAACAAAAGATTTAACCGGTGCATGTGTACAAATACATGTTTCAATTGATAAATCAAAAGATTTTAATGAATTAAGGGTATATATTGAAATATCTTATAATGAAATTTAAATGAATTATTATTCAATTTGAGTGAAATTATGTATCGAAACTTGACGATTTTGAATTGTATTATGAAGTGTTTATGTTCTCTTGATTTGATTCCATCAGTGTGTGTGTGTGTGTGTGTTAAGATCTGTTTGGATAGAAAGATTGAATACTGATAAATGGAAAACAATTCGAATAGATGCAGGCCATTTGTGATCATATTAGACCTACAAGAATGCCTTGGTGAGACTATGAAAAGCTTTGAGATCTAATGAATCCTAAGAAAAACATTTATTAAAATGAGAGCAAAAATTTTCAAGATCATTTTTCACGATTCTAGTATTAATTCAGTAATATGATAAAAGATTAATTTTTGTAAAACACGATCTAAAAGGAATATTGATGTATATAGAGTAGAAATTGGTACCCCACAGAACATAATAGACACGTCAGAAACGATTCATCGCAGATAAGGCAGATGTTGTTGATATACAATCAAAGATCGTATATTAACAACCTCTCATTATAATGTATGAACTACTTTCACTTCTAGAGAATTAAGCAGAAGGATGACGAAGAAATGTGCCTTAAAATAGATAGAATAAAACAATCTCTTAGTGATTATCAACAACAGCTAAATCGTGTTTCATATTTTAATCTCACAGCAATTGTGCTAACAATTTTGTTTCTAAATACTTTATTTTAGAATCGAAATGATCTCGATACATCCAACGATATTGAACTTGATTCTTACTTAGAAAATCGTCATTTAAATTTAATAAGCAATGATCGTGCACTTCGTACAATGACAAATAATATTTTCTCAGTTTTAGTCAATATTGAACAAGCTGCACATTTACCAAATATTTATTCTCAAAATGAGTAAGTCTATTTTTTGTTTATCTAATAAATATTTTATTTTTTTCATAAATTAGAAATATACATACACCACCAAATCCATATGTAACATATTCAACAGCTGATTCAAATCATTTATGTCGTACACAAGTATTGACATCAACAATAAAACCTCAATGGAATTATCAACAATCAATTAAATTATCTATTGAACATTTATTTAATGAAAAAAAAGTATTTCTACTTAAAGTCTGGCATAAAATTAATGCTGATATTGAATCAATTCCAGGTAAAAATCAAATAAAATATTTAATTTCAATAAATTTATTTTTTTTTACAAAATAGAAAAATCAGGTGATAAAGTTCTTGGTTTTGTTTCTATTGATTTAAGTCCATTATTATCTGGTTTACAACAAATATCTGGTTGGTATAATATAATTGATACAATTGGAAATGTTCAAGGACAATTAAAAATTAATATTATACCACAACAAGATCTTTTTGAATTTAAACGTATGAAATATAATTCCAAACAATATCAACCAAAACTTGATACACATCGTTCAACTTCAACAAGAACTGAAAATATATCATCGTTAAATTTGAATGATCTTTCATCAAGATCTGTAAGTTTTATTAAATATTTAGAATTTTATTTATGATTAAAAAAATTCTCTAGAGTAATGTTGGTTCAACAAATTTAAATTCTTCAATAATTGACGATGAAAATAATAAACAATCATTTTTAATGAATAATCTTCGGTAAAAAAAAAAAAAAAAGTTTTTTTCTATTTAAAGAAAGAAAAAATATATTTCTTTCATAGACGTCAACTAGGTGAACTTGATGTTATAACAGAACGTTTAAAAGCTCGTTATTATTCAAATTCAGAAATATCATCAACAATAACAACAAGTCGAAATAGTAGTGTATCATCAGTTCCACAACTAATTTCGCTTAATTTACCATTAACTACAAATTCTATTCATCAAAATACTGATAATACACATTCAACAACAACAATTCAAAAAAATTTATTAGAACAATTTCCTGAATCACTGAGTGGTAAACCATTAATGAGTAATGGTCTTAATGTAACTGATGTACTTTCATTACATAATGATCAAGTACGTCTTGCACAAGAACTTATGACAAAAGCAAATCATTTACTTGAATCATCAAAAGATTTTTTTGATAAACCTCCAACTGTACCAATGCCACCGCCTATATCATCGACTATTATTGAAAAGAAATCTATTACATCATCACCACCAGCATTACCAAATTTTAATGCAACTAATGAATTTCAAACAACAAATAATTCATCGAAAATTGATACAACTCATAGACATATCAAGTTAGTTTTAACAGATAAATAGATAATTTTGTTGTTTAAAATGATTTCAATTAGAGATTTAATTTCGAAAAGTAGACGTTCGTCCTGTCGGAGTATGAAAATGCTTTTCTGGAAGAGAAACTTTGACTAATACAAATAAGAACGAGATAATCTGGAAAAATTTAGATAGTTATGCATAAAAATTTTTTCCCTCTCTTCTCTGGCTGTTGAGTTAATAATTCTTGCAAACGTTGGTGAATTTTAATAATTCCTATAAAAGTCTACCAGATCTTGCTTTCTTTGTGTATGTTTGTTTCCGCTGTTATCCTAATCTTCAAAAAATTTCTTCTTTGCGGTAGTATCACGATCATTCCAAGCGTAATAGACTTCAGTAATAAACATTTTGCAAAAATCTTACAAACATTAGTCCCTATAGTAAGTTTTTTTTTCTTCTGAACGAATCCTAAACCAATGGTTTTTTCCCCGCTATATACAAATCTAGAAAATAAGCTTCGAATTGAATTTATGATTTTTATTTTACAATAAATAGTAATTCATTTGAACAACAACATTTAAATGATTCGATAATTTGGTCTGATGAAGAAAATGATGAACATGATCAAAGTTTTCTACCTATTGGTCTTCCACCAATTCATCATCGTTCAATAATACCAACAGTTGTCTCATCACCATTACATGTCGAAGAAAATTCAACACATCAAGAGCAACAAGATGATATTGATATTGTTCATATCCGTCCATTAAATAATCTATCTGCATTCAATTTTGATTGTCAACAAATGAATGCAGAACGACTTAACGGTTTAAATTCAATTTTCAATCTTTCTTTTTTTTTGTCTATTGAAATTTTCATTTTAGGTTCTTTAACAAATGATGCTCATACTGAATTATCACGTCGTACTGTACATGCTTCTGATATAACAACAATGAACAATAATCAAAATGAATATAAAAAACCTTCACATGAAGTAATAAATTCATCTGATTATCAATCACCAGAACAACAATCATCTTCTTCCGATACATCTATCGTTGATGATACTAATACACAAATGAAACGAATTGATGTATCTATTCGTAAAAAAACATTACCAAATTTTTTTCCATCAAATCATGAAATGGAAGTATCAATTAAACAAGTTTCACAAGCATTAACAACATCAGTAAATTTCTTTTCTTATTATTATTCGTTCATTTTGTTTTTATTTTAAACAGGCAACAAATCCTTCATCAAATAATCTAATAAAAACAATAAATGAACGATTTCATAGTAAATTACCAATGGAAATAACAAATACAAAACGAATCGAACAAATTTTTCAAACTAAATATCCTTCAAATTAAATTATTATATTACACAGTGATATTCATTTTTCTTCTATTTTCAAGTTCAGATATACATATGTCTGTTTTAAAAATTAATTGTAGACATAGTTTTTCTTGAAAATAAAAAAAAATCCATGTTAATTGTATTTTTAAAGACATTTAAAGATACATCCTCATCTCTTTTTCGTCGGTTCTGATTCTCGAAGATGGTACAATCGATCAAGCTGAACCAAAAATAAAGAGATAAAGATTCCAGGAAAAAAAAAATTTAAAGTAGGTTTTTGGGGTATTTTCTAGCCAACTTTGGTTTAGTCATAGATATCTTCAAAAAAATTCTCAGTCCAATAGGATAAAGTTTGATGGGCGTCGTAAGCCATTAGGATGTGATCCTATGGAAAAACCAGAGTTTCTCAGACGAAAAATGCAAAAATCTATTTCAAAATTTTTCTCCCTCGAAAACATATCTCCTTATTTTTAGTATAAAAATTTCAGTTTGATCGATTGTATCATCATCAAGAAACAGAAACCGTATCCTTAATTGAATTGAGTGTAATGATTTTTTTGTATTTTGTTCTTCAAGATATGAATATCGTTCAATATGGAGATGCCACCAATACATATGTGTGCTTTTTTAAATTATGAAAATGAACGATTAAAAACAAAAATAGCCGATCTTAAAAGACATATAGTTCATCTTGAAAGAATAATTGCAGAAAAAAATCTTGATCATATTCATTCATGTTCAATATCATGTCAAGCAGATATTACTGTTCCACGTTGTCCAAGTCCAACCGCAAGGATACCTTCTAATGAACAAATACGTTTACATCGTCTTTTAAAATCTCAAAATGATTTATTAAAACAATATGAAAATGAAAATATACGTGATCGACACAAATCATCATCATCATCAACACTTATTCAGAATTATGAACGACGTTTAATACAATGTGAAAAAGAAAAAGAACAAGCAGTAAAACGAGCTATGTGTGCACAAAATCGTATGAATAAATTTGAAGAACGTTATGAACGTATGAAAAAAGAAATAAGTGCACTTGATGAAAATTTTTTTGATGAACTTGAAGATTTAAAATATGCTTTACAACAAGCAAATAATCTTAATCGAGAATATGAAAAAACTGTACGAATGTTAAGTGATCGTCTTGGTATTCCATATCCAACAGTAGTAGTTAAAAGAAAATAGTTTGATAAAACGGACGTACCAGAATAAATGTTTCTCTAAGTATTTTTGTCAATATCACCATGTCTTAATCGGTTTTTTTCTTAAAATTCTGCGATTCAATTTTCTACAAAAATCTATTAGAAAATATTTAGAGGAAATATTAGATAAATAATACTGCCACGTTCTAATATGACTAATTTTTGAAAAGTTGTTTTTTCTTTCAGAACAATTCAACATTCTTTTCTAGCTTTGCATAAATATAACAGTATGACAGATTACATTGACGAATATGACTGAGTGTGTTCTTTTTCATGATGTATATTGGTTTGTTTCAATGAAGTTTTTCTTCTTTGACGCATACATTACTCAATCATAACTGACAAGGGAGCTAAACCAGCTGTACTCTGCTGTTTAAATTTATATGAGACTCACAAGGAGGTATAGAAAAAAGCACGAGAAGGATTCATGTTTATGGGCTTCTGGAATTTTTCAATAGTCTTGCTTTTTGTGACATGCCGGTGACAAACGGTCATTTGTTGGAAATTCAATTTCTCAACAAAGGAAAATGATTTTCGGCTAAAATTTTCAGAATATTTGAAGAATGATTAGACCTATCTATGAGCAAGATTTCAGATCGACATTCTGTTATTTGATTATCTGGTAAATATATAAAAATAGATCAAAAATTCCGTAACGTGATTATAACTCGACTGCAGAGGTCTGTGAACACGAACACTTTTAAGTTTTTTCTAGCCTTGCCGAAATTTCCTGATAGTTTCAAACGGCGAGTTACAGTTCGAAGAGTTCCATCATGAGTCAAAAACACGTGAAACTTTACTTGTTTTGCATAATATACCGAAATAAATAATCGCTATTCTGACATTTCAGTCTGATGCACTCATTCTTAAAAATTGAAATAAAGTTGAGTTATATTAACTAATTTTTTTTTGTCGGTGATTAATACAAATTTTTCTGAGAATTTCAAAATTGCTAATTCAAAACTGTTATTTTTGTAAAGTTTAGAAGAAAAAATAATTCATTTACATAGGAGGTATTGCTATAAAAACTTTTATTACTCTAATTACAAGATAGAACTTTTCAAACGCTACAAGAATGCTGTGTACTTTTTTTTTCGTTAGTTTAAAATTCTAAGAAATAAACCTAAATAGACTATTTTTTTTTTTGTGAAAGCTAGCCGTATTGTAGCCTCGTAGTATTATTTTGGTTAAGATTTTGAAATAAAACTTGTAATACGTTCTTGTAGAAAATTGAATCGCGAATCTTTAAAAAAAAACGAAAGGTAAAGCATGGCAATATTAAGAAAAATACTTAGAGGGATAATTATTCTAGCATACCCATTAAATATATATATTTATTTTTTATTCACACTAATAGATTAGAATTTAATTTGAAATTTTTCTTTTTTTATGAATTGTATTGAAAGAAAGTAAGAAATTTATATTGTTAATTTTTCTTGTTCTTAAAATTTTTATAATATGAAACACAATTCACATTTGAACAATGTCAATTGTGTATAGGATTATTTTATAGGATATTATAATAAATATGATTAAAAGAATATTATGACCTAAACTAGATACGATCGGAATTTTCTTCAAAAATATCATATGTAAACAGCTATAAAAATAATGTACTCATGGAATTTTGAGTTGTTTTCAAAATCATCAATCTAAATCAACAAATTATACCATGATCATACAATAGGAAAAACAATCTATTTCAAGGTTAACAGCTGCATAGAATTGATTTATTATCTTATAATTAATTTATATTCATTTATCATTCGTAAACATATACAATTGTACCATGATTGGTATATTTTTCCTCGAGATATTTTTATGTAATAGAAAAAAATATTTGAAAACATGATTTTTATTTATTATGTCATTTTAATCTGTCAATGTATTAAAGATCATAAATTCTAACTACAACAATACAATTTTCTTTTGTTTCATAATTATAATAAATAAATACATAACATAAAAACAAATATTTTATAATGTATAAAGTTTTTTTTTTTTGACAAACACATTATATTTAAATACCAAAAAAATTGATTATTTTTGAACGTAAATGTTTTTTTTTTTGTATTATATATATTACTGTCCTTTGTCTTTGTTGTTTTTCTAAAACTAAATTCAATCACAAAAAAAAAACTAGGAAAAAAAAAAGATTTTTGTTTTGAGATATTTTACTCCACGTTTAAAACATGCATATGGATAAACATTTATAGAAGTGTTTCAGTTGTTGGCGATTGCACAGCAGATTGTCCATGAATAAGTGGTGAACTATTATTTAAATCTTCATTTTCATCAGTTTTTTGATTTGGTTCAATTAATTCTGTCGAATCTTCATCAACAAATGAAATATTTGCTTTATCATATAATTGATTTTCATCATTTGATACATATGCTAATTGTAATTGTCGTGATTTTGGTGTTGTTGTTATTGAACGTCTTTGTTTTATTGATGATGTTGATGGACTTGTATTTGAAGAATTTAAACCTAATTTTTGTTGATGAAAATTTCCATAGATAAAAGTTGGTGTTGCTTCTTGATTTATATCTTTTGATGTTGATGATATATTATCACATAAATTATTATGTTTTAATTTATCTTGTTGATATTCCATTTCATTTGAAGATTCAACATTTTTATTATCAATAGTATGACAATTTGACAGATTTTTTTCCATATGATTAGAATGTCTTCGTTTTGATTCACTTGTTGTTGTATCTGATGAAACAGGTTTTAAACTATCTAATCCTATTAAATTTAAATCAACATCTTGAAATTTTTGTTGACGATATACATCTGATTGACGATGAACGTATAATGCAACAATATCGCATATAAATGTTGCTAAACCAAGAATACCAATTAATGAACCAATATTTAATGTTAATGTTATGATATCAAAACGACCAGCAACACCACTAACCTATAAGAATTAATGATTTATATTTTTTTTCAATAAGAATTTAATGTTATATGTACCATACTCATAAAGAACTTAAGAGCTACTACATGTAATAACAAGAAAAATGTTGTAAAATATTTCTACTTAATGTTAACATTAATCAAAAACTATCTCCAAGGATCAATATCAGCAGAACATATCCATGTTACACGTACAGTAAACAACATATCTATGTAATTATCTACGTGTTATTGATCTGATGTTTCAGATAATAATAGGAATGCTTTTGAAGTAGTAGAATTTCTATTAAGAATTTATTTTTATTCCAAAAATTAATCCATCAATCATTGAAACTGTCCTCCAATTTTTGAACTCATTATCCTCGGACAATGCTATTTCTGGTATTTTTAACCTTTTCTTAATGAAAACTTCTGCTATCAGAATCACACAATAGCTTATTGTAAGTATAACAAAAAAAAAAAATAATCAAACGCTATTTAACGACAATTATTACTTTCTGATCATATATTGATGTACTTACAGAAATAATAAAACGGAGACCAAATGCTTTAGTTAATGTTCGATAAGATCGATTTTGATGTTTCCAATGTGATGCAAACCTAATAAAAATAAAACATATTATTCTAAAATAAGAAAATAATTATTTGAATTAATTTATTTCAACCGAAAATTAAATCCATGTGAAAATGATTCCTCTTTATATGCACCATCCAAACGTCGAAATGAATATTGAGGTTGACAAAGATCGTATGATTTATCTAAATTACAATCCCAATGTATTTTAACACGTATAACACCACCTAATTTTAACATTTGCATTTGTTCAGATTTATCCGGTTCAACCATATCAAGTAATGTTCCAACACGAAATAT